TTATTCCGAAATCAGTCCTTTGTGGGGGGAATATTAAGGCAAGCACTTACTTCGTTGACATTCCAGGAAAAAGGCTTTTTTCTGCTTTCTCCTCTGAAGCTTTTAGTTTTTTGTTGATGTTCTCGGATGTTTTTATTTTCCAGCCATCTGCATTGCGCCGACAATTTACTCAGCTCCTCAAGAAGTTCTCCTCGCTTTCACCGACTGAATCAGTCCTCCGATCGTTGTCAATCCTGATCGACATTGTGAAATTCGATGTCGAGATTTTCAAAGCCAGCATGGGGGTGCGTTTTTTCCTTCACAGTGCGTGGCTTTGGTGGGAAAGGGGTTGTGGGGTGCTGATGTATTGCCGTGAAGATAGGGTTTTCCCCAGTTTTTTGAAGGGTAAATTCTTTCTGAGACTGTATCAGAGGACGAACTGCTAGACTTCCGAGATGAGCCATGCATCCGACCTTCCTCCAGAGTTTCTGTGATCTTTTGCTGCAGTTTGAGAGTAAAACTCACGAAGACAACCCATACTAGGAAACCTCTAGATTTTTTTATGACGAAATCGGATGAGTTGTAATAGGGAGTGAAATCATATACGCATAGCTAGATAGTTAAATGTTCAGCTTACAGGAAATTGAGTGGCTTCAGGTAGTACGGGTAAAATATCGGTCTTTTCTTCTCATACACCTTTTTTCAAGGATTCCCTATCAGAGTGGATTTTGTTTGCCAAATTTGTTTTTGAAAATTATCCTTGGATTCCTAAATTGATTGAATTTGGCTGGTGTTAGTATATCTTGCATAAAATCAGCAGCTACTAAGATTCCGAAAAAGAGTTGGGTGCATGGCGCATCTCAACGTGGATGATCGATGTTGATCAATTTTTAATTCTTCACAGCTTCCACTTTTAATTACTGTTTGTTATGTTGATTTCCATTTTTGGAGGTTGGATGGTCGTCACCTGTGGACTTGCTTGTTGGCCCAGAAGTGGGGTTATCCTATCGTATCAACGAACGCTGTGAGGTTAGTATACTTAGTCATCATCCCAGCACAAAACTCGTTCTCACAAATAACATATTGCTTGTTTTTCCTTATTTTCTAATAGAAATCCAAGAGGCTTTACTTTAGAGTTCGCGATTAGCTGAACTGCGTTCTGTGCTGGAAATTGTTATCAGGAAAATGGAGCATAACTCTGAAAAGGCCATAGTACAGTTGAAAATTTCGGGCACCGCGCAGCCTATGGTAGGGACGGTTTTGTATTTTGTCTTTTCAGTTTTCTTGTTTTTCCTATCTCCATTACTGCTCATTATATTATACACTATGAAACTATGAAATAAAATGATCCTCTTAATGAAATATCTCCGCTCTTTCTAAAATTGAATTTTCTATGAAGTAAAAAACTCTTCTGTAACTTCTGAATTCCTTTTTTTCGGACAGAACACCTACGTAAAGTTCTACCTTCTGCTGTATTGTCGAAGAGTACAGATGGGGACATGAAGGTGATTTTCATCGCCAAGTGGAACTTCCGTAACCTTGATAGAGTCTTATCCCCCCAAACGGCCTCATACAATCGCATCACATTCGAACCCTATTCCATCTGTTCGCCCTTTCCTTCATGTTGTGACCTGCCCTGTCTTCCCCTGCTAGCTCCACTGTCTTTACTAGAATTTTTGTTTTTCACATATTATCGTGATTGATCATAAGTGTCGTCGGCTGTGATCCTATACAACAACTTGCAGATGGATGGTTCCCTTTGATTTTCATTCCCCGGTTTTTGAAGTTAAATCATCAAAGTCTTGCGCCAGCTGTGGAGAACGACTCATCTGAACCGCTAAGCTGATTGACCTGGTTTGCATGTTGTATAATAACCTTCAACTCATCTGATGGGTTACATCAGCTTCTTGTCCCCAATGTTTTTCCGAAATAGAATACTTCTTACATTGCATCCTACTGGATTCCCCGTGGAACGAGTCTTACAATTAGGGAAACTAGCAGTGAGGTAGGTAACAATTGGTTTGAGCAAAGCTAATAATATAAAGCTGGTATTAATAGGTATGGGTGGAAACGTCCGTAGTGAGGGGGCCTTTTAGTGGCTCAAAGCCTCTGTGTTTAGCGCGGAGTCTATGAATGCAGAAAGGGAATGGGTGGGCTTGATTCATCTACGCAGCAATAGCTTGCTTCAGAGGTTGTCGGAGACTTGCTTTATGTGGTTTTATGGGAAAAATGTCCCAGGAAATAGGTTCACATTTTTCTTTTCTCACCATTCGCGAGTATTCCTTCGTTTTAATCTTTAATCAAAATTTATACGAGATGGCGGCCTTGAAATGAGCTTTCCGGTTCTTCA